GACACGTTTCAAGATATTTATTCTAAAGGTACTAGAAAAATAAAGTTGAAGAAACGAAAACCTGAGAATGTTTGGATAAACGAGGAAATATTAGAATTGTGTGATCAAAAGGAAAGGCTTTGGAGCAGATGTAAGCAAAATCCCGAAAACACAGAAGTAAGAAATGAATTTCGTGCAGTGCGTAATAAAGTGACAGCAAAAATACGTTTAGAAAAAGGGAAACATTATTTAAATCAATTCACCTCTTCGAGAAGAAATATTAAAAAGACATGGAACCTAGTAAACCAATTAACTGGCAGAAAGTCTAAAAATAGCGTGGATGACACAATTAAAAAAAAAACTTTCCTGGATTAGATTCTTATTTAACGTTATCGGAATCATTTAATAAGTGTTTTCTTGACTCCGTAAGAAGCATAAAAAATACCATTTGACTGAATGGTCCCAATCCCGTCACTTCGCAGGCCAGATGCTCTAGTTCGGCGTACTTACCTCAGATGACGGAGAGCGAACTTTTGAGGATTATAAATGCTATGCCAATAACTAAAACACCAGGGTTTGAAAATATTAGAGTACGAGATATTCGGTATAATTTTGATAAATTAAAAGACGTTTTAATGAAAATAATTAATGACACCTTTCATACCGGAAGGATTCCTAAGGGCTTGAAGATATCTATTATACGTCCACTGTATAAAAAGGGGAAAAAACAGGAATTGGAGAGCTACAGGCCCATTTCCATTCTACCTGCATTAGGTCATATAATCGAAAAGTGGGTACAACTAAGAATGACCAATTTTTGTGATACATTTAATTCATTTTCTAGTACGCAATATGGTTTTCGACAACAAAAAAGTACTATTACACTTTTAGAAGATTTTTCTGACTGTGTTAATCAAGCACTAGACAATAACAAGATTGCCCTGGCACTTTTTATAGATCTATCGAAGGCTTTTGATACCGTTGATCATTGTCTGTTACTTGAAAAGCGTTACAAATTGGGTCTCAGGGGACAGTTTTATAACTTTTTTCAGAATTACTTTAACGACAGACAACAAATGGTTAAAATTATGAATAATATAAGTAGTACAGCTAAAGTCGAATGTGGTGTACCACAAGGTAGCACTCTCGGACCAATTTTATTTAACGTTTACATAAATGATTTGGGTATTCTACCTCTACAATTTAAGCTATTTCAGTATGCTGACGATACGGTGCTAGTTTTACCCTATGAAAACGATGATGATGCTGTTTTAGTCTTCCAAAGAGATATAAGTGAACTAATAAGTTGGTTTAATTCAAATGCCATTTCAGTAAATTTTGCCAAAACTAAGTTACTGTGTTTCCGAAATTCTCATAAACGTGTTGATATGTCACCTAGAATTTTACTTCATTCGACACCGTGTAATAATTGTACTTGTAAACCTTTGCCATACGATAATTGTGTAAAATATCTAGGATTATACGTGGACGAACCTTTATCATGGAATCAACATGTGGAATTTGTGACTAAAAGACTACGTTCCGTTTCAGCATATCTGTACAGAGTAAGAAGCTTGTGCAGCGTAAAGATAAGAATACTGGTGTACAGGTCGTTAGCTGAACCAATTCTACGATAAGGAATCACTTTATATGGTCACTGTTCTCCATACAAGACAAATGCAATAGAGAAAATTCTAAAACATATGGTGAAAAACATTACATACGGAACTCCGTACGGAACATTAGATATGGAAGATAAAGCAAAAAAGCTCCAAATTTTATTCTTTAAAAATTTTCATAGATATGTTAAGTTTATGAATTATTTCTACGATGCAACGTTCAAGGTTCCAGTGGACAAGCCTAGGGACCTAAGGCGCAAAGAAAGGTATAAAATCCCCAGAATTTACACGCGATACGGAAAAAGATGCAGAGCTCACTTTATTCCCACCTTATTTAATGAGCTCACTGAGCCTTTAATGAAAATAAATTCCATAAAAGTAGTAAAAAAAAATAAGAAATTGGTGCCTCTCATTACCTCCATAAACACTGCTTTACTCCCATCACCGTATACTTGCCTCTTAATGATTTCGATAGTTGTGTTCGTTTTGTCTTGTGCCGAATCGCGGCTCTGTTTTGTATTAATGTTGGTATCAATGGCCACATTGTACTCGTTCGATTTTTTATCATGATACATTGATATGTATTTCGCTGGATTGTCTGGTCCTACGCACAAGTAGGATACTGCTTTTGTAGGCCAGCATTATTTATATGTATTTGTGAAGGGAATAAAGCACATTATTATTATTATATTAAAAGGCTCCGCGTGACGATCAGCATTCAGTCTCGCCCCAGCGCTCGATCCTGCGGTTTTGCCGACTTCGACGCCCGCGACGCTCTGTTATTATCCTTTGTACACCTTTTATTTTTGGCACAAGTTCACCACATTAAACGTTTATTTCTTTCTGTTTATTTATTGCTTCCTGGTCACCACCCGTGACGCTATAAAGTTTTCAGGGATTTGAGGTTTTACGTATTTCTTTAACAAGTGCCCACATTCGACCCAGCCTTTCCTAAGGGACAGGAAACGGCTTATCAAAGAAAACTTAGCACTAGAACATACCCGATTTGTACTTCAGCAAAAGGGACCAATTAATGTGCCTGTTTGGTGTCAAAACGGTGACTTGGGCTAGTTGGTTTTTCATCTGTTACTAAACGAGAAAAACAAAATGACAAAGAAAGGCATAGATAACACGCCTAGTGTTGTCTATACCTCTCTTTGTCCTTGTTTTATTTTTTGAACGTTCAGTTTAAGCTCTGTTTTTGTTTCTTGTCTCCAATTTTGTAGAGCTGTGTGCAATTTACTTTAAACGCATTGACTTAATTGTACAACTCATCGGATAAGAATGCGATACAAAGGTGGAGGGTTATTTTAGAACCTGCACTAGTTGCGATACTGTGGCGCGCATCTTATCTTCTTTCAAAATAACTCAGCGGATTTCTTAATCTGCCCAAAATTAAAGTCTAGCACCGGGAAGGGGAGGGGGTTCCAATTAACGGTTCCAGCTACAGTAAACAGCCAAACAGCTTCGATGTCTGGTAGCAGAGACTGCAACGACCAAAACGTTTTCCCCTCAGAAACACATTCAAGGCGCACAGCTCTCCTGAGCATTGCTAGACAAGGAGCCGCGGCTTTCAAGGAACACTAACGTGCTACGCTTTTGGGAGGAGAAGGGAACGCCATCCAGACCTTATACCCATTGGCCCAAGTAGCCCTGGGAGTGCCTTGCTTTCCAGGTCAGCGTGCAGCGAATCTTTTCTGCACTGAAGTTCATTCTATCGTCTCAGAGGTGCCGCCTTTCCCCGGATATGCATGACGACGTCCTGCTTCGTTTGTCAGCTGCCTTACATTGAACTGCGCTTTCACCCACGTCCCGAGGTGCCCCAGCACTATAGCTCGTTCATGCCACACAGTAATGTGAGACTTTGCTTTCTATATGTAACACTTTTATAAAATATGCATAGTTTATCTTTTGCTGACGCCAGTCGTTTTTGTAGCATATGAGTACGAACCGGTTCGAACTGGTTTGAACCTTTATTTTTTCACTCCGGAGTTGAACCGGAGCTGAACCGTCTTCTCTGACCCGGAACGAAAACCGGAACGAAAAACATTTCAGTTCAACACCCTGCTTGACACTGAGAACGCCTCCCTCACGGTCTTTGTGTGCACGGTGCTTGGATGGTTCTCATGGAGCTGTCTCCGGTCGTGACAGTGGCGGCAGAAGCGTGAAGAATCTACCAGGACGCGGAAGTACGATGTGAAAACGATGCGGTTGCCACGAAGACGCGCATGCGCACAGTGGGGCAGTCTATGTGGGCAAGCGAGAACATGGTTGATGGGAACCTATGGGCACGCTGCTTTATAGTCTGTCACAAATAATTGCTGTGCGTAGGTTGGTACCTCTAAGTAAGAGATACACTCCTTGGAATGTTTAGCAACGATATTGGATAACAAGATTGGCGGAAGGCAGCACCATATTACGGGCGAGGTGGTCATTGACTAATCGACTTCGTTCAAATGATGAGTATAAAAGACGGATGGGTAGCCATCGGGGGCAGCGATTGGGTTAGCCTGCTACATGTCGAGTGTATGTTGTGTGTGTGTGGGTCTTCTGGGTGTTCAAATATTTTGTCTGTGTTATATATATATTACGTGTGCATATGTGAAATAAATTCTATATGCAAACGAGAATGGTAAGAAGCCTGAAAAAAAATCAATCCAAGCGAAGCTAATCTTTTGCCGATTTTGCATTAGATGCTGACCGGCGCCACCTGGATCATGTTAGGGTTAGTGCCAGATAAAATCTAAATGTAGTATATATACCAGGTCGGTTAATAACCGTCGTCAGCTTCTTATCATTGTAACCGGTACTAGTTTTTACCTAGTAAATATTACTAGCTTCTTTTTTTTTTTTTTATGTAGAATGTATCCTACACAAACCACTCTTTTTTTTCGTTCGTTTAAAATTTCTTTTGTGTGTGTGCAACGCTTGTTATTGACGCTCGTTCATGACGCTCACTCACGATTGTCGCTTAGTACGCTCCTTCGTGACGCTCGTTCACGACGCGTGTTCCTAACGCTTGCTAATAGTGCAGGTTTCTGACGTGCGTCCACGATTTGTTTTTGTGTGCGTTCAAACAGCAGGCAACAACTGTTGCACTCTTAAGCATCGCTGTCCCCAGATGTTGACAAATGCTGTGAACACTTATATGTTTCACGAAGTTGTTAATTTTATCTCGCACCATCGCCCCTTTTTGTCCAAGTTTTAGCCCCAGGCTTTTGCACTTGCCTTATATGGGAAACCACACTCAGGTTTCACAGATGACATGCATGAGATTCAGTATTTAATTTCAATTTGCCTGGCATACAGCGCTCAAGAAAGAAAAAGGATACACGCTACTGAGACAAGCTCAATTTCAGCCTCACAGCCCGTGCGGATCTTTTATTTGCCGGGAAAAAAAGATTACGCTATTACTCCTCCGGTGACGTCGATGGCCGCTCCCGTCATGAAGCTGCTCTTTGGGCTGCACATGAACGCAATCGTCTCGGATATTTCCTGGGGCTGTGCTAGGCGCTTAAAAGCAGTTTGCTCGATTAACTCGTCCACAAAATCTTTAGGCAACTTTTGGGTCAAAGGCGTGTCCACTGGACCAGGCAGGATGGTATTGACGCGGATTCCCTTGCTGGCCACCTCAAGGGCCACAGCTTTGGTGAGGGACACAACACCGCCCTTGGATGCAGTATAGGGCGGTAGCATCGGAGAGCCAGTTTTTGCCGTGATGCTCGCGATGTTGACGATGGCGCCGTCCGTGACATTGTTGGCCAGCATATGCCTCACCGTTGCACGATCGATCAGGAATGTTCCCTGCGAGTAAAGGAAGTCAATGGACCATTTCCGCATAATGACGGCACGTAGCTAGGGTACACCCTGCCAGGAACGCGTCTTGGACAAGTGTGTTTAGTACTCTACCTCACCCATACATGAAAGGTGGTTTTTAGAGCGGCAACAAATGGACATCATAGAAGTCGGCGTCACATGTTGTTAGATGTCGTAATCCTAGTAGCTGGTGCCTGAAGGTACGAGCGAACTTGGGTGTGGCAGTGGTCGCGGCGCTTCAAAGGTTGGCCCTTGAAGCATCCGGGCTTGTCAAGCCAGAGGGCGAACTGCTGCATATTAGGCGTCTGCCATACCCCCATCGCTTGTGTGACACCGCCGGGGTCGCGGCGGGCGATAACATGAAACTTCTGTGACGTCATCAGGCGGGAATCGAGAGTCCACTTTTTAGGACACGCTGAGTACACCGGTGGACACGCGTTCCTGGCACCATGACGGTGGGCTCACAAACTGCTTTTTGAAGGCAGTCACGTGGCCTGCCCTACTTCTGGAGTATCCCACGTACGTATAGTGTCCCGACAAGAGGTGTCCCGGCCCACATTGTGCTTTGTCCCGGAAGCGTATCCGAAAAAAAAATAAAGATTAAGAAAACTTGTGGAGTAAGCCAACTGGCCGACTACGGCGCTCTGATTGGCCGTGCTTTCATGAACGTCACGTGGTTTACGGAGGGAAGGAGAGGAGAGGTGTGCTAAGGCTCAGAGAAACACGTGTCAACAATTCACGTGCTAGCATTTATTAGGCTCTCATATTTACCTACACTTATCTGGTAAGCGAATCTGCGAGCCGGCTCAAGCTTAGTGCATGAATCACTTTTAGATGTTCACCTAGACCTGGTAGCCCCTCTCCATTCTCTTCATCCAATCGAAATCCAGGCGATGTGTCGTTTATAAAAAAACGCACCAATCAGAGTGCGAAAATTGCCGTGTTGACTCACTCAAAAAGCTTTTTTCCGAATAGGCGATCACGAATGAAAACGTCGCTTGATGATGTCAATGGCGTGCGCACCAGATTGCACTACAAGCGCCCGTGAAAGCTCTGGTTCTTAGTATGTTCCATGCGCTAGAACGGCACATAAAGGTCATCCATAAAGACAGAATTTCTCTGACATTCACATTCATATACACAAGGCAGATGTGCGAAGAAAACAAGAAGCATATCTTGTAGAGCGGTAAGAGCCTACATTTCCCGCCAAAGAAAGAAGAAATAGAGGTACTTAAATAACTCTATGTATTGTAAACATTCTGCTGTGTCAGTATGTAAGTTTCGTTTTCTAATGCTCCGGAATTTCAAGATGACCACAGGGTCTTCTGCCAAATCACTCTTTGTTTCGATCCGAGTGCTAAAGAAAGAGTCTGGTCCTATTCCGAGTCGATGACATAGTTTACCGGTTTGCTTGATGGATGGATGTTAATGGCTATATCACATCAAGCAAACACCCGGTTTGCTCAGGTGTTTGCTTGATGGATGGATGTTAATGGCTATACCCTTTGTAACGGGCGGTAGCTTGCGCCACCTAGCCTAAGTCTAAAAAGAGCAACATGTGATTTCTCCCGCCCTCCTAAGACCGATTTGCCTCCCCCCCCCCCCCCCCCCCCCCCCCCCCCCAATTATCAACAGGCAGTGTCGGATATCACCAGAATGATTTTCGCGGATCGCAAAAAAAAAAAACTGAAAACATCACCCCCTGCCCCTTCCCCCCGGCAAGGGAGTTACCAATTTTCATCTGGTCAAACCTTGTAGACGTTACCCCAGCACCAGACCCACTGGGAGACAGGGTTGAGACTTTGGGCCGGAGCCACGCGGGAGGAAGTCCCAGTATTCCTCTGCCCGCCTGTCCCCAGCTGTGCTAGTTACTTGTTCATCATTCAATTTTCTCTTTATCATTTTTAACAATCTTCCAATCGCCTCTTTCTGATTGTAATCCTTTTCTCTTTCGTCCTTCACTCGTCATCAACAAAACGCAGAGCCCCGGCGAAATCCCTTACCACTTCAACGAGGGCAGGGCGAAGCCCCGTGCACTTCAAAACCAAGTGCTCTGGAGTCTCGCTTTCATTATGGCAGGCGGCACATAATGTGTCTGTCTCCTGAAAGTCAGCCCTAGAAGTCCTCGTCCTCAAAAGTCCCGCTCTCGCCTCGAACAGCAAAGAACTTTCTAGTGAATTGTCAAACATATTTTCTTCTTATGTCCTGTTTTTGTGACTTGTATATTGTTAGAGCTTATTTTCCCTGCATTCTTCCCTCCCACATTTTCCTCTGTGTTTCTTTCACCTCCTTCTTCACTGAGGTAGTCTGCTCAGCCCCATCATCAGTGTGAATGAATTTAAATGTATGCTTTTGGGCTCGGTTTGCTCTTTTTGCGTGGAAACTTTTTTATGCATAGGTATTTAACTACCTTCCGTGCCCAACACGTATCATCCATTCCAGTCAACCTTTGTTCAAATTTTCACTTACTAATTAATTGCCTCCCTGCTCTCGAAAGGCGACCACCCTATGTCCTCCTGTACTCCCTCATTTGGTGTCGTTCCATGTTCTCCCAGTGCCAATCTGCATACGCTTCTTCGTCGAATTTCTAATCCTGATTGAACCTCTCATATCTTGCACACCCAAAGTGAATGTATTTAAATGCAAGCTTTCGGGTTCGGTTTGTGCATTTTATGTTTGAAACTTTTCGTGTATAGATATTTGAATACCTTCAGTGCCCACCACGTATCATCCATTTCAGTCGACCTTTGCTCAAATTTCAACTTGCCTCCCTGCCCTGAAAAGACGACCAGCCCATGTCCCCCTGTACTCCCTCATTTAGTGTCTTTCCATTTGCTCCCAGTGCCAATCTGCCTACGCTCACCCTTAGGTTAGTGGCGATGACAAGGTCGTAGGCGGTGTCATTTGTTTCCTCGATGGGCGCTAGCATTCCCGATATGCCGGCGGAGTTCACCACGACGCTGATTTTCCGGCCAGGAAACGACGACTCGATCTCCTCGAAAAGGTTGCTGACGGCGGTCGAGTTGGAAACGTCCACGTAGATGGCCCGGTGATCGCCCTTGTACGAGGCTGTGAAATGAAGGGTACAAATATGTAAGCTAATCATCCATTTCAATCATGTCCAATTTTAAACCTATGCTGAATAGGTCGCCTATTATCGCTGGGATAAATGGGAGTCAGTATTTGATGTAACGGATTATTCAGGCTGCCCCGCTGGGTTTTGAGAAGAGCGACGGAGTCCCAACGCTGATAGCCATTTGTCGCATGCTGCTCTTTGTTGGTAAAATTGCGCTGGGCATTAGGGGAAAAGATACTGAAAGGGTTATGAAGAAAGGGGGGGAGGGGGCGTGTATGCGCTGGCCTTAAGTATAGGTAATGGTTAGGCCTAACGTTAGCCCTAACGTCACGCTTTCAGGTCTAACGTCGTAAACCGGTACAGGCAGCTCTTTGACGTGAGGTGGGGGGATGGGGTGGTTATCATTTGAGCCCGTTCTCGTTTCGACCTTCTCACTTGGCCCTTCTCAAAACAACCATTCTCAAAAAGATCTTCTCTCTTGGACCTGTCGCATTTGGTCCTTTCCCGTTTCGTCTTTAGCATTCCAACCCTCCTCATTTGGGCCAGTTCTCGTTTCGCCCTTTTCAACTGGCCCTTTTCACAACAGCCATTCTCAAAAATATCTCGCTTTGGCCCGTATTAACAAGTACATTGATATAGTGTGTGTGTGTGTGTGTGTGTGTGTGTGTGTTTGTGTGTGTGTGTGTGGCGCGCGCCACACTGTCTGCAGCGTAACGCGCGCGCGCGCGTCACGCTGCAGGCATATTTTCTTTTTTTTTAAACTGACAATAAAACAGACCAACTATTCATCGCACCCAGATCATATATTCCGATATGTCACGTTGTTTGAGGTCTCTCGACTTGGGACAATGCCACCACTTCCATAATGCAGTGGTTTTCAAAAGGGGGTCTGCGAAGGCATCCTAGGGGTCCGCGAAGCCCTGTCTTATCAGTCAGGCACGGAAATATTAGTTGTCTTTCTTCACGTTGAGAAGAAACGTTCTAATTTTTGGGAGAGTACTCTCGTGTGTTTGTCAATGAGATAAGTCTGGCTTCACACTAGCAATTATTTATATCTATGTATTAAATAATTATCATGATAACCTATACCTTTCTATTCCCCTCACGCCGAACGGGGTCCTCCATCATCTGCCTTTCTAAAAGGGGCCCGCGAAACATCAATGGTTTAGAACCTCTGCTCATGCTATTTCTGTTCAAACAAAGTTTTCAAATTAAATGTCCATCGCTTTTTTTCTCGTTTGCTTAAAGGAAGGGAAGCAGGCGTCAATGTACGATTCTCAGTGAGTACCTCTATACATAACATATATCTGATGGTAGGTTAGGGGCCCCAGCAAGGTAAGGCTCATCAACAAAGCCGCGAAGGAATAACGACGTTAGAAGCATCGAACTAGTGCCTTTCGGTCATAGCGCGAACGGGCGAAACCAGAATGGGTCCAGTTGCGAAAAACACGATTCGGATCTTATGAGAAGGTTCAAACGAGAAGGACCAAATGAGAATGGGTCGAAATGTGCTAGGTTCAAATGCGAATGGGACGTTTTGAGATACACCCGGGGGGATGCGGGTACGCGCTGGCCTGTCCTTAGGCCTCGCGTTAGGCCTACGGTTACGCTTTCAGGTCTAAAGTCGTTAACCGGTACCCGCAGCTAGGGCTATGATGATGATGAATGGACACATGATCTCAGCACGGGCCGCGCCGAGCTTAGTACTCCCGCCGCTGCCTCACCCAGCGGCGTTGCAGTCACCAGCGAGCCAGGGCTGCTTTCACATTCTCAACTCATAAAAGTACTAAGGTGTCCTCGGATTTTTTTTTTTTTTGCGTGATTGGTTTAAGTGGTGATAACAAACGTACAATAACGACGAGCGCCGCCACGATGCACTTTTGTCGTCGCTTGATTGGCTCCATCGAATGGTCGCGTCGGCAGCTCTTGTTCTTAACGGCGAAAGGGAGTATAAATACGCGTTCTTTATACTGTGAGCGTCAGAACACGGTGTTGTTATTCGCAAGGTTTTTCTAGAGTTCGTTTTATGCCGAATTTATATTTATGAGCTATATGAGTCTGCGTTAGAAAGGAGCGGTACTGTGTTCTAGGGTTGCGTATACCGCAATCCTAGACGGGACAAAATAGAGTAATAAACGTGCTCATATACACACTGCCTTAATTTCGGTTGTCTAATCGGTACAACGTTTCTTCTTGGCGTTTCCAAGGAGAAAAGGAGAGCGCGCGTGCAGCTTTAATTGGTGCTCAAAACGGGAAAGGGCACGTGTGCCCGTGCCTTCAACTCTATGGCCAAGTAAAATTGTCCAAGGGTATAATGTACTTCACGAACTCGTATTTATATAGAAAACGTTGAATCCTCTCCGTTCACACGAAAAAAAAAATCGAAAACTAACCGCTCCATTGTGATAAACCTCAAAGTCATTCTAATACTGTTGTTTGTTCGGTTTTTTTTTTTTTTGTGTGTGTGTTTTTTTGTGTTTTTTTTTTGCAATTTTTTGAAACAAATTAGTTTTTTATGTCCACGTGGCGGTACTGCGGCCTCCAGAGTCCCTTTTGCGGTGTTCATTTAATTCAGATTGCTTCCGGCCCGCATGCCGATAACAAGCATACAGTGGAAGGTGCGCCCGTCGAACAACCCTTCCTTGTGCACCTGTCGTCTGCCTACAGCCTTGGGCCTGTTTTTCTAAGCCCTCTCGCTCATTCAAGGCCAGCTTCCGGGCATGCGACGCACATGCATCTGGTACCTTTCCTCTTTTCCACGTGGCGTTCTAAGCGGCGCACAATTGCAAATAACTAAACGTGGCTTTTACTGACGTCACGCCAGCGGCCATTGTGGTGTGCTTGTTGCTGTACGCGTATGTACCTCCAGCAGCACGCATTCCGCACCGCATTATTCGTTTCTCTATGCAAAAATGAGTAGGAATGAACCAAAATGGCCACCAGCTTGACGCGGTGACGTCACCTGCAATCTATAGAGCCATATATATCGAGGCATTTTCGAGCACGTGTCACCATCTCTATTTCATATCAAGACGCCATGGCTTGGCTCAATTCGATGGAAACAATGTAAGGTTTTATACTTACACTCATGTGGGACCTATCTACACACATATTTCGCCAAATGTAAAATCAATAAATGTTTCGTAAGATAGTGGCGAAGAATATCAATTGGCGTCCCAAACTTTCTTGAACATCAGCGCCTCGCCGAATGCAAAAAAAAAAAGAAGAGAATTTTAACTGCAAAACAAACATCGCAATGATCCCGGAAATAACTTAGATGACAGTCATAAAATATAACTACGCAGTAATTACACTTTTAGACGGGTATAGTTTTTATTCCACGAATCTACAATTTTTGTGCATGAATCCTATGGGCACATTAAGAAACATTTTCAGTTTCTGCTTTTATTGATAAAATATCGCAAATCGATCAAAATATTTGTATTTCATTGAAAACCTTCTATTCCACGGCATGTCTCGGAAAGTTAGCCATGTTAGTGAAACTTCTTTTCATAACACAGAAAAAAAAAAGGTTTTATCTTTTCATCGTTTAAAAATATACATCATATCTTCTGATAATTTCTTACTTTTCTAAACTATAATATCCTACCGGTCAAGTGCATTGATTATTGCGGAGGATGAAGTATAGCAACACGAGCAAAAACGTATTAGAGAAGCTTTGAAAGTGTACCCTACTAAAATATATATTAAAAAAGACGGTTATAGATAAGGGTAATTCGTAAAATTAATAGATGTAAATGCTGTACCTATTAGTTTCTTAGGACGAAACCAATACTATATTATTTCAGGGCATAGAGCGAAACGTATTAGCCGCCAGAAGCGAAACGAAGTGACTCGACTTGTGGGGTTCCACCTTAAACGAGAAACAGAGTTGCTTCGCTTGGGTATAGACTGCTCCAAGAAACAGCCACTGACGTGGACTACATATACGTACTTTCAATTGCTGAAGACGGACTTGCTGGAATTTCGGAATCTCACACTGGATCGTGGGTTGCGGTAAAAAATTGTAGCCTGTCGTACGGATGGTTTGAGAGCGAGAAGTTGATCCGCCTTAAGAGGGCGGTTTATGTCTCACAGTAAATGGGCAATTTAGTCACTGCAATACCATACGCTATACCACTTGAACGTGCACGACGTTCGGGTGGTTGGCCGGCTACAAGCGGGTAGGATGTTCATCCAGATAGAGACTTGTAGAGATGGGGATCGGACACAGGTATAATCCCCGGGTCGCGCAGCACGATATTACACTCCGCGAACAAGAGAGTGTAATAAAATATGCAAATAATGAAGCCATATCCGACAGACCTTGAAGCATCTCTATGGTTTCAGCGGAGCCCGTTCTGTTCCTGTCCGCTACGACGACGGTGGCTCCCTCTCGAGCGAATACCAGGCAGACGCTCCTCCCGATCCCACTGGCGCCCCCAGTAACGATGGCTAGGCGGCCGTCGAGTCCCAGAGACCGGCACTCGGTCTGATTCTTTGCAGAGCCAGGACTGTCCTGGTCCCCGTCTGTTTGGCAGAGCGCGGTCCCTGAAAACGCGCAACATTATTGACACGAAGGGAAAAAATGGAAGCGGTGACATCAAGTAGGAATCGATTGTATCAATCTTAGATACAACTGCTTTAAGCTTGACCACAATTTAGGAACCCTGGTATTTGTACTTTCAGGGTACACTCTGAGAAATAGGGTTTGTATAGGTACACCCCTTGTTTCATATGTAACACCCCCGAAATACATTTGAACGTTCAGTCAACTGACGTCAAGCTGGTGATATCAACTTCTGCGAGGGGCTTGATAGCCGTTAGATATAACGTTCTAAGCAGCTAATGTGCGTATCAAAGACTAGAAAAATTAAAACACTGATGTTTCGCTGCAGGGCCATAAAAACATTGATTGTCTTATTGTAGACTTTAAAGAAATGGTGAACTGAAATTTGGATTTCAGAAAACATTGCAGAGGGGGTAGGCGGGACGCTAGAATCCGTACAACACCACCTATAAGGCCATATCTCGAATGGACGGCCGTATTTCTGGAAAAAGAGGTCGCGATTGAACGAGGCCGACAAGGCGCGTGACGTCAACATATCTCGTTTTCTCCTCTCTTCGCTTCACCACTTCAAGGCGGAGAAGACGCGAGGCCGTTTCCCCTCCTCCTCGACTTTTCTCGGCGAAACAAGACGTCAGAATATCTCAAATGCGCCTCCTGTTTTTAGAAAAATACGGCCATCCGTTCGAGATATCGCTGTACGAGTGATATTTTTTGTGTTTGTAGTGTCCCATTGCACGCTTCTGCCGCCGTGTTTTGTGGAATCCAGATTTCGGTTCAGCATCCCTTTAGTGCGTGTGTTAGCTATATTATAAGCTGTAATGGTCGACTATCAAGCAGCTCTTGAAAGTTGGTATCGTCGGTTTGACGTATGTGGACTGAATGTCGAATTATTTTTTTGGGTGTTACATATGGGACAAGGGGAGTGCCCCTATCAATCCTCTATTTCTTATAGTGAAGGTATTATTGCCAATACAACTCGGGAACGCAAATTTCGTGGGCTTTTCTCCCTTCACTCCGGGCGAAAACGTGGTCTAGCCTTTTTTTTTTTTCTTTTATATAAAGTCGGATTGGGGAATTCGTCTTCTGTTTAGACGGACGTCATGTACTTGAGTTATCGAGTTTCTATTTCCTTTGTAGTTTAATTATTTATTTCTGAGGAATCAAACTGTTATTTGTTATCCATAATGCCTTGATGCACCATCAACCTAGTTTTTAAGTGTTTTTTTGTGTCAAATTACCGTGTGCAACAATTATTGGAAAAAAGCAGAGAGCACAGAGTCTCCAGATGTCATGGCCGCTGTCACGTTGTGCCACTTCAGAAAATGGCGTGGCATTGGCCGGTAGACAAGACTAAATGTCTAAAAAAAAAACAATTGTTTCACTCCTGTTTTAAGAAGGGTTTCTGCTTACTAGAATATTGTCGATCGCCATCGTGGGAACTGAGTAAAACCGAAAACAAATTAGGGTGCAAACACGCCGGTGAAGGTTTCGCATTTTAGACAAAACCCCAATATTGGGGGGAAAGAAGGACAACACAACACGAGGTCTCAATAGAGACTTCGTGTTGTGTTGTCCTTCTTTCCCCCTAAAATGAGTAAAACCTTTGGTGGAAAGACGACACAACCACACCTCGTACACAGACCTCATCGACCACAAAATAATAAATGTATATTATACGGGAGAAGGGATCAAGCCAATAAGGGGTAACCTGACACACTTCGGTGAAGGACTGATAAACGGATGATCAGTTAAAACCATCCTGGATAACAATTAGGCCATATATTTTCAGGTTTAAAAAGATATGAAGATAAACATCCGTAGATGTAAAGAAACAACATCGGTTAAAAACAAAAAACACCGATTTCTTAATATTTTTCACCCTCTAGGACTGTTTCTATCAAAACTTTCCCCTTTTAGACTTCAGCACTTAAGTTTTAGTTTTTGTTTTTAAGAGACATTTTTACATAATCGTTTACAGGTGTGAAACGTCTACAAGTATGAAACGATAAAAATCAGCTTAACCGAAAAATATACCGATCTCTAAAAATATGTGCACCGGCTAGGACAGCTTCTATGAAAACCCTCTCTTTTAAAACTTGAGCATTTAATTTTTCATAAGAAATTTTCACAGATAATTGTTGTTTCTAGTTTCCGTCCGAAAGAAATACTCAAAATTCACCAATTTATATAAAAACAACACCGAAAAACACCAGCTGACTTTTCGTATAAATAAACACCGAAAAATCTACGCCCTACTGATAATTGGTGATAATTCGCCCTATCAGGTATGGTGCAGCTCGGCAGGGTCAGCTACTAAAGATCAGCCTCTCCCCCCCCCCCCCCCCCCCCCCCAAACTACTGAGGAAAGAAAAACACCGAGCTTATTACAACCCTTATTACACCAACTCCATCGGATGGCAATGTTAGTATCAAGAATGCCAGAATAGACTTACCAATTGCAAGAAAGGCCACGTAAAAGTTAAGGTTCTTGCCGTTCATGGTGATGTAGAAGCTGAAAGTATGCTGAAATTGCCTGAATTGCTAATCGCACTAATGCCAGCTGCCACTAGTCTTGCTCCGCTCTGTGGAAATGACGGGATGTACAGATGTTCCAGCGAAGTATAATGCCGTTCGACTTTTTACCTCTACAGAGGGGATGAACGACCAGAAAATCCTCAGCCTGCTTGATAGGTTCACCCGGCCCTGCCAACGATCAACGCGCGTTGCGCCAGATGCAGTAAACCAGCAGCTGTACCTTGCCGACTCTGTGTGGTAGAAGGTTACCGTTAACAGAAACATGCGGTGGTGGAGCTCCGCCACTGATAATAATAATAAACATCGACCACACCCCCCTTCTGCTTTTTATGCTGAAAAACAACTTCCAAAATAAAGCGACATGGTTGCTTGTTATAACATACTTATATATGGTGGTAATATATTTAGGCGTAATGGTAATATATTTATATGTCGTGTTTATATATCTATGTAGTGATAATATGCACGAACCAACGTTACTAGAACACTCAGTTGGGAAACTCGCCGTCGAAACCTGGGCCGCTGGCGTCCACCGAGACCGAGCTAAACACGTCAACAGCGCCACTCTTTATCATTTTTTTTGTACTGTGGTCACCTTGAGATCTTAAAAAACATGTTTTTGCGTAAAAACAAACGGAAAAGACTCTTTTTGTATGAAATTTTTTGGAGTTTTGTACAAAATGAAGGGCGCGTGTTGATTTTATAATCTTTAGTTTGCAAAGTTTTGCGGAACAATTACTATTGTTTTTATACAACCATGCCTCAGCGGTCCTTTCAGGTAGCGCGTCCTGACCTAGGTGCATTTTAACTTCGGTAGTAATTCGCGGCGCGTCCGCTGGGGAGAGGGGGGTGGCACCCCTGTGACCTCTTCCGCTGTATCTGTTTCGGCGCCAAAATCAACCTCGTTGGCCAAAATAGAAGTGAAGTGCAGTTCCTCGAGTGGCCGCTACGGGAGAAATGGCGGCGTTGTGTTCGCCATTAGCTCGGTTCTGGTGGACAGATAGGGGCCAGTTTTTCAGAGCAGCCTCGTAAGCAGTTTCCCAACTGAGTAGTTCTAGTAACGTTGGCACGATCTCTGTTACGTCACGGCGCGGTGGTGGCGCGTCGGGCGCACTTCCGGTGTGGGGCTGTGGGCAGAAGTCCCCATGCGAGACGTGTATTCCTGCGTTGTTTTGGAAAGAACAAGACAAAAACCTGCCTTCTCGTCAAAAGCCGCGACTGTAACTGTACAAAAAGAATCGAGAAAGGTTTGAAGGTTAGTTTTCATGTGCTCGTTTCGTCCGAGTACGTGGAGATGTGCCGTGAGAAGGGAAAACCAGACGCCGTCGGACCACAATTGCTTGGGCGGGGAGCACTTTGGGTTGAATTCACGGATACTTGTGGTCATCAGATTTATTTGTTTTGTTGCAACATGAACGCCAGAAAACCGTCAAGTCGTACGGACCACCTGCGGACTACGTTTAGTGCGTCTTCAAGTTCAAACGGCCGCCTGATCGTTCGAACTGCCGTCTGCTCTTTCAAACGTTTCTGCTTGTCGTCTGCTCTTTTAGACGACACCGGCACGTAGGCCGAATCTTGACCCGATCCTTACGATAAAAAGTAAGTGCAGGCCTCAAAAGACTGAAGTTTGAAGGTTAGTAAGCAGGCTCGATGTAAACAGTAGAAACAAGGAGATGTTGATCATTGTTACCAGGGGCCATCACCGACTTGTTATTCCAGATTCACTTGGTCCGATTCTGCTTACGATTTTCAGTATCGACGTCGACCATCTCAGCTACGTACTGTTCACGCTTTTGCATACCGAGCGACGTCGCGACTGAGAATTGCAAGCAAAATCTCGTCATGCGAATGAGGCTTAGCCTCCATTCTGCTGCGTCCACGCGGAATGAATCGCCGCATGACATATTATTCACGCGAAGTTTTGGGGTGTAACGAGCCTAAGTAATTTCGCCGAGGAGGCTCAAGTAATCAGGCATTGCCAGGAAGACATAGAATCAACAATTCGAACGCGAAAAAGGGCAGAAGGACTCACACCGACGCCGACAACATCGCATCCCAATGGTTTGTTTATGGGCGACGGCGAGCTTCTTGCCCACACTCCATCGCGCATGCGCGGCGACGGTGGCGTCCGCTAGGGGCGCTCCGGTTTGTTTGTAAACATGAGTTGGTGTATACGTACGGAATAATATGTTATGACATGGCGATGAAGTCGAGACCACTAATACTTTGTTTATCATCACGTTCAAAAGGTACTGAGTGATTACTATACCTGGTGTTTCAACGAAGACCTTCTACAATTTTAAGGAGTTTTATAAAACAAGAAACTCTTTTCACGGACAAACTGCCAGTCTCATGGGTGGTATGGACTTGGTCACCTCCATAATTCCAACTTAAATTCAAACTCGATTTCTTCATTTCTGCCCACTCGGAGAGAGGAGGAAAAAAATAGGAAATCCCCACAACTTGGGTGTTGTAGGGAAACGACATGAACACCTACACAATACTGAAAATAAGAATACTAAGCTTACAATCGTAAGTTTGAAAGATCGATTCCCGTTAGGGCGCGTTTAGAATTTCGTTATTTCTTCCCAATTTACCGCGGTTTCAGACGTTCCTCTAAAGCAGACTTGGACGTAGTTCAACTACTCTACTCAAACTACTGTAGTTTAACTACTTTTTTGAGTAACTTGGTAACTTTCAATTACAATTTGATTTGGGTAATTAGTAGTTTAATTTAACTACTTTTTTCAGGTAACTTCTACTCAAATTACTAACTACTTTCGAAATTATACAATGCTAATTTCGCCCATCATGAAAGTTTGAGCGCAGAAATGAATAAGACGCCGGCAGATGAAGAGGCATTCCCTAACATGGGGCCCCCTTGTTCGGGAAGGCGTCCTTGGGTCAAGGTGGCGACGAGTAGCCAAAACATAACACCGGCACGCACGAATGCAGGAAGAGATGCTTAACAATCCTTGGTCGGGTATTGACCTAATCCGGTAATGCACGCCGGCGCCGCGTTTCCAGCTGCAACCGTGAAAGACGGGGTCACTCCGAGAGTTGTTTTCTGTCTTTAGAGAGTTCTGACTCAAGCGGTAGGTTCCACGGGAGGCGCCACTGGAATGACCTCGCAGCTAAGCGCCTGTTCCCATGGTCGCCTTGTCGTCAGCGCATACGCCTTTGCAAAGCCGGACTCCCCCGCGCACAAACCCTGGCACGGATAATCCGTTCATGGGAGCACGTTCCCTCTTCCAGCTGCAACTGTATACGAGCGACGATGCTTGTTCACGTAATCCTTCGTGTCCTTCCGACCATCCACGCCATGGAGACCTCCTCTTTGTTAAAAACGATTTACTTGTCAGGCGTGTCAGGCGCGTCAGAATATTGTAGTCGCCGGCGAGGATTGCGAGTTACCCTTGGGAGATCCTTTTGTTGAACCTGGCGTCAGCGGCGAAGTATACTTCGGTTCATCTTCTGTAAGACCAAAACATTTCTTTTTTTAGTAGCGTAGCACTAGCACTACAACGGGACGCGCAGTCGTCCGGATGATCTCATCGTCGTGGCGCGAGACTTGAACCCTTGACGGTCTGGTGCACTCGCTCAGCGTACTCTCAGAACGACGTCGGAATAAAGAGGGGCCAGTCATAACAATCTCAACTTGACAAAGAAAAAAGAAAAAAAAGGAGAAAAGTTTGTTATAAAAGACCCTCTACCCGAGGCAAACCTCACATGTTTCGTCATGGACACCCAAGATGCCGACACTCGCTTACTCGACCCTGCACAGCCCGTTTCTCAGATTCAACGCTGCCGTTCCGTTCAGTACCACGGTGGAACGTCTATTTAGCTTGGCTGGGGACGTCTTTAAAAGATAAAGGGGAAAACTCTCCTATCAAGAACTTTGAAAGGCAATTGCTTCTGCGAGCGAATGAACTATTTTGGCGAAAACGCAAGCTATAAATAGACAGCATTCATTTTAGGCTCGCAGGGTTTTTCATTGATCAAAACTGCTGTTCACTTTGCTACCACAAAAATATAAAAAAAGTAACTTCGAAAGTAACTTGAAAGTAACTCGCTACTTTTTAGAGTAGTTAGTAGTTTACTCAATTACTCTTACTAATGCGTAATTTCTACTCTACCCCAATTACTTTTGGCGTCGATACTCAGTAACTTAACTTAACTACCTTTTTTGAGTAATTTGTACATGTCTGCTCTAAAGTAGTCATTTTCGTAGGCTAATTTTCGTGGCGTTTCGTCACGCTTTCCTCGGGTATCTCAGCCCTTAAACACATTCCGCATAAAAATCAGAGAGTTTGAACAGCCTTCTCTACCTCTACGGAACTTTATCACATTCGGATGGCGCGACCTCAGCAATCGGGCCCGAGCCAGACCCCGAGCGTCATTAGATGCATTGACTGAATACGAGGCCCAACCGAACGCAGACGTAGCACTCATATCAAATTGGTGTCTACCCTAGCTCTCACAATGATGACGCCGAAATTCTGTTTCACGGGGTTTGAATATTTTATAGGTGGTGTGTCAGTTCGAGAGACAAGAACGTCTACGCGACTCGGAACTCCGCGGGGCTGCAGCGTCTTCTGCTTTCAGGTAACTTGGGGGGCACAGGAGGGCGGGTTTCAGGACTGAACGTCCAACGGCTTCTTGGACATGCTCCTCAACGAACAATATGGCTGCGGCGACATCTTTGATCACACCCTTCTTCGATCACGCTCAACTGTCCAGACAATAACGTGCCTGACCTCCATTCGTAGAGCTCGGTAGAGATAGTTTTATTCGTTTTGGTTCCCAGCGGGTAGAATCTGATAAAGTGAACATATTGCTGCATTCTTAGCTTGGTACGTGGTAACTATAAGTTTTCGAGTCGTCGTAAACCCGGAAACCTGACGGAAAAAAAGAGTTGAAATATTAGTAACGGTAACAAGTAACTTTAATACTTCTAGAAGTAG